CGCGCACGTGGGAAGCACACATTTGCAAAGGCAAGGCAATGCCGCGCACGTGGGAAGCACACATTTGCAAAGGCAAGGCAATGCCGCGCACGTGGGAAGCACACATTTGCAAAGGCAAGGCAATGCCGCAGCCGGCAGCGCCTCTCCGCAGAGCGCCCGGCCTGGGAGCGGGCGCCGATCTCGCCGTGCAGGGCGCCGGCCCGCGGGAGGGGGCTCGCGGCTGGCGGCGGCTGCAGGCCCTCCTCCAGGCCCACTCCACCTCCGTGCCCCTTCCCTCGCACATGGACAGCCAGTTCTCCCAGCACAGCTTACGAAAGGGCAGCCTTTCCTCCAGCGCAGGTTTTTGGTCCCTTCCATCCCAGGGCTGGACGTAGCTGGGGTTGTTTCTGTGTCCCCTGTCCTGTCGCACTGACCCTCATGTCCGCTTCTGTGCCAGTATCGAGCTGTCTTTGTCACTGTCGCTTTGAATGTAAGTGACAGCTGGGATGGCGTTTGCCTCGCGCTTCCCTCTGCTGCTCAGGGCTGCTCTAGCTGTTCTGGACTGCTGCTGGCTCCAGCAAGGCCTGGTCTGCTTTCTCCACTCCTGTGAGAAAGGCTCTTGGTGTCTTCATCGGGATTGCATGAAGTACGTGCATCAGTTTGGAAGCACGGCCAAGCTGACAAGACTGGCTCTGTCTGTTCAGGAGCAGGAGCACATTTCCACTGCCCCACATCCTCTTCGGCTTCTTGTTTTAGGAGTTCTATGGGTTTTGTTGTAGAGGTCTGTTACTTCCTGATTAGGTTAATCCCTAAGTATTTAAGGTTTTTGAAGCTATTATGAATAGTACTTATTTCCTAATTTTCTGGGTGAGTTACTAATTGGAATACATGAACACTGTTGATCTCTGTGTTGATTTTGTGTCCTGCCACACTACTGAATCCATTCATCAGTGCAGGAGTCTCTGGGGAAGTTCGTCACGTCTCTGTTCGTCCCTGCTAGCTGCCAGGAATGAGTCTGGGGTGTGCTTTCCATTTCAGTTCCACCGAAGAACTGAGAAGTATCAGCATTAGATCACCCTGAAGATTTTGCAGGCTTCCATTGGGAATTCATCGGGTCCTGGTCTTTTCTTTTCTTTTCTTTTCTTTCTTTCTTTTTTTTTTTTATAAAGGGAAGCAACTACAAAAGCTTTATTTATTTGTTCAAAGTAACCAGTTCTATAGATGCAAAACAAACAAAACCCAACAACTCCCCCAAATACTACTTTCAAAACTGATATAGTAAACCTGATGTTTGTTAGAATTTTTTTTCCACACTAGTAAATCAAATAAATGATGTAAGTTCTTGAGCTTCATCTTCTGGACAAGAATGTGAAGTTAGTCTCTCTTCATAAAAGGCAATTACGATTTGAGGACACTTCATATTTGCCTCTTTTGCGAGCACCAAGTCAGCCTCATCTGAATCTTTCCATTTCATCAGAAACATCAATTCTCCACTACTATCTGTGGCACCAATCATTCGTTCAGGATCAAGACCTCTAGCAAAACCTCTAGGTTTGTCAGCAGCACCTCTTTTTTTCTTTGACTTGCTGTCATCAGATTCACTGGCATATAAAGATTTTCTTTTCTGTACCATCCTTTTCTTTACTGGCTTTTCGTGAATTATGAAATGCTTCAATTAACTCTGGACAATCTATATTTTCTTCAGGCTCCCGTGTCTTGTCAGCACCTGTAAGTCCCTTCCACTTCAGAAAATACTCCACCTTCCCATTCACTATGCATCAGTCCAGTACTTTTTCTACCACAAACTCTTCAAGCTCTGCTTCCTTAATTTTTTTTCTTTTTCTGTTTTGTTTCTTTCCCATTTTTTGCAATGTAGTTTCACTGGAGGCCATTTTTTACTGCAGACTTGAGCTATTATTCACTGTCTGGGATTCTCCATCATTGGTCCGCAGTCTCAGCCTGCGCGCCTGCAGCTCCCCTCGCCTACCTTTTCTCTTAGCTTTCTGGGATGAATCTGTTTCGTTCGAGGCATCTTCTTAGATTCAAGAGCTCCTTTTTCTTCTTAGAAACAGCCTGAAGAGCAGGTCACAAAAATATGGCTCCATAAACCCAATGTACATCAATGAATCCACGTGCTTCCCCGCGTGGCAGGCTTCCCAGCGGGTGGGCGGGGCTGCAGGCCTGTCTTTTCCTAGTTGAGAGGTTCTTGTTACTGCTCCAGTTGCTGTCACTGGATTATTACTAGTTCTCAACCTTGACAGTGATTTCACCTTTTCATTTCTAACTGCATTGATTTGGGTCTTTTCTTTCCTTGTTTTTTGGGTTTTGTTTTGTTTTGTTTTGTTTTTTTGCTAAGATTGGCTAAGATTTGTCTATTTTATATATTATTTCACAGAACTTTAATTCATTAATTTTTTAGTCTGGACTTTTGTTAATTTCTGCTCTGGCCATTTGATTTCCTTCCCTCTACTAGCTCTGAACCTTGACTTCCTGTCTTTCTGGCGTGCTCAGACATACTGCTGTGCCGTGTATTGGAGTTCACTCTTCTTCTGATGTGGCCATTCACAGCTATAAAGTTGCCTGGTAGGACTGGGTGCCCTAATTGTGTTCAGTACCTTCTGGTCTACTGCACTGAAATTATCATTTGACTATAGGAACTGTCCCATTTCTTCCTTGGCTTCTTTCCTGTGACCCACTGATTTTTCAAAATGGTCCTGTTTAATCTCTGTGTGTTTGCATAATTGCTGTGGTTTCTTCTGCCATTGAGCTCCAGGTATATTGCACCCTGGTCTGATAATGTGTATGGAATGTTTTTGGTTCTGGCATATTTACTTAAGCATGCTTTATAAGCTAATACATGATCTATTTTGGAGAATGTTTTATGTACTGCTAAGCACGATGTATATCCTGTTGTCAGTAGATGGAGCACTCTGTAGATCTCTAGCTGTTCTGCCAGCAAAATAGCTCAGCAGACTAAAGCACCAGCTTAGGCAAGCTCAGGGACTGTGGTTCAATCCCCAGCACCACATACTGCACCAGCCCCGCCCCCAGGGTGGGCTGAGCAGGCCACAGAGTAATCCCAGCACTGGGGAGGCTGAAAACAGGAGAATCACTAAGAGTCCAAGCTGCGTAGTAAGACCTTGTAACAACCAAATACATTTTTTAAAATCTTAGCCCTGTTCTATGGTGTGGTCCAACTCTGGTACTTGTTGGGGCTTTTGTCTAGTTAATCTATTCGTGATCCTGTGGTATTGCAATCCCCTGTGATGACTGTTTCGATGCTTATGATGTTTCATGTTCAGCGATGTTTATCTAATGAAGGCAGCTGTGACAGGGTCTCGTGTGCATGCATTTCTAATTACCTCTTCCTATTCAGTCATTCCCTTAGCCGACTTGTAGTGATTTTCCATGCTTCTCTGCTCAGCTTTGGCTTGAAGTCCACTTTGTCTGAAAACAGGATAACAACCACTGCTTGTTTGGGGGCTTCCATCATACGGGTTATTTTCCGTCCTTTAATTTGTAGCTTATTAATTTCCTTTTGAATTAAATGTGCTTCATATTTATGATCATACTGTTGGGTTTTGTTTCTTGATCCAACAGCCAATCTGTGCTCTAGATTAAGGAGTTGCTATCATTCATGTTGAGAGTTGTTACCGAAAGGCTCTGACTTATTCCTGCCACTGCATTGCCTTCCTGTTGCTGCCCCCGACCCCCCACTTCCATCTGACTGCTCCCCCATCTAGCATGTTCATTCCATTAGGTTGTTGGCACTGTTGGCTTTGTTGTCTGTTATCCTTGAGGTGTTTTGTTCTGTTTTTGTTTTTTTGGTAGGCATGAATTTCTTAAGGTGCTCCTTTCATGAAAACAACTTATTTTTCCCTCAATTTTCAAAGACAGTTTTCAGGGTATATTAGTATGATTTGGAAGCTGATTTCTGTTCAGAGCTTGAAACACTTTGCTCCAGGCTCTCCCAGCTGTTAAGCTTTGTGTCAAGAAGTCAGCCGTAACCCTAACAGGTTCATTTTTGTGAGTTACTGCTTATCTCCAACAGCTTCTAAGATTCTGTCCTTGTGCTAGGCTTCGGGATTCTGACCATGACATGAGCATCATGGAGAAGTTGTGTACTGATTATGGGTATTTTGGGTTCCACGTGCCTTGATTTTCTGTATGTTTCCCCAGACGTGGAAGGTTTTCTGCCATTATTTCTCTGAGTAGGTTTTTATGTCATATGTGCCGTCTTCTGCTTTTTCACCAGTTCCACTTCATCTTAGATTGAGATGAATCATCCTTGCACCTCCTAGCAGCTGTTGGACCCACTTTCCACCTTCCCTTGTCACTGCCCAGGTACCTCTGAGGATACAGTCACCTGCATCAGCCCATCTTCTCCTTCTGCAGTCTTCACTTTGGTCCCTTCTTTTCTATGTTTTCAATAGAAGCTTTCCCACCTGGGTTTCTGTTTGGCACTTGCTGTGGGTTCTGCTCCTTTGCTAGTGACCATTCATGCTTGTCATCGCTTTGTTTAGCTCAGCTAGCTTCTAATCAGCGTCTTCTAAGACCACTGATTAGTTTGAGCTCCTTATCTGTTTAGTTAGCTCATCTCATCTCTGAGCTTCTGAGCACCTTATGACCCCTTTCCTTTTTGCCTCCTTTCCTTTCAGTCATCTTGTGCAATTTAGTTCTGTAGGTCTTGATTCCCCCCAGTGATGTCCCATGGGTCAGCTTTGGGGAGCTCGGAGGTCTTGAGATCTTCTGTCGCCTTGTTTTCTCGCAGTGTAGGGGGGGGTGCGCACGCTGAGGGCTGGGGGGTCTCTTACAGTGGGGAGACCTTCCAGTGCGGTACTGTCTTTAGTCAGTGCTTCCCAGCCATGTTTCTGGGCATGGCTAACCATCGGCCAAGCTGGGGCACAGGGGTGGCTATGTGCATGTCCTGGGCATGACGTAAGGGAAAATCCCAGTAAACTCACAGAAGTGTGTGCCCCGCATCCTACCTGCTGTGTCTGGGCACCAGGGCCCTGTGCACATTCAGTGGCCCTATCATCAATGGGAACAACTCCCCCAAAGAAGGACACAGAGGTGGATCTAAAGAGGTAGTGTGGCCTGGTCCTGGAGAATGCTGGGGTTGTGAGTCCCAGCCCTGCCTTGCCACCCACTGGGCAGCTGGATCTGGCCAAGTCCCTCCTCACTAGGCTCCTTGGCCCTAGTGCACTCCTGAAGAATCTGGACCAAGTCAGTGGGTCCCAAAGCAGCCAGTGGTCAAACTCAGCTGGGAGCTTGAAACTGGAGTACCTGGGCTCCTCCTCCATCAAACACTGAGCTGGACTTTCCAGGATGGGCCCCTCCCCTCTCTCCACACCGTGACCTGAAAGAGTGTCTGGACCTCGCATTCTCCCTGTTCCTCTAAACAACCTGAAGTGTGCCTGGAGATGGACTCGTGTGGGTCCCATAGGCTTTAAGTTAAGCTCCACGCCCAGGGAGGAAAGAACAAGTGTGCACAGGTGGGAGCTCTGGACAGTCAGTTCCAAGGCCCCACGCGAGGGCCTGGCCGGAAGGCAGACACAGATCTGCCTCCAGGGCTGTCAGGCTTGGGGCTTCCTGTCTGCAGCCTCCAATAATGGCTTTCTTGTTCAGAACAGAAGAAAGAGAGGTTGGCTCCATGAAAAATTGTTTGTCCAGTACATTAAGCTGACCTCACAGCAGCATTCAGCCGTAGTGCTTCCCAGACTGTTACGGTTGTTCCCTCGCAGGCAGCAGCTCTGGTCCACATCTACCTGGACGGCTCAGTCTTGCTGACTCATGGCGGCTGTGAACTGGGACAAGGCCTTCACACCAAAATGCTCCAGGTGGGAGGAGACGGGACTAAGAGACGCTGGGGAGGGCTGGGGGAAGCGGGTGTCGGGCTGAGGAGATAAACCACTGCTCCAGCATACCAAGGAGCCCAGCACATAGGTCTTCTGAAAGCCGTGGTTCTAGTTTTCAAAGATAAAATACTATTCAATATTATGACAACTGCTCAGAGCAATAATGTGTCCATCCAGATCCACAGAGAGATGTGATGTGTTTAACCAGAGAAAAAAATTACACTCAAATTCAAAGTCTACTGAGAAACACACTTCACAGAGCTGGCCAGCATGTACACTGATTCAAAGAAGTGTGTATCTCATACTGTTGAAAAAACAAGGGATTATTGCAACAGGAAAAATTCCCTTCTTTAAATATGAAGTAAGAATTTTTTTAGTATGCCATTTGAATAAAAAATGTATATGTGAGCCAGGCATAGTGGTACACACCTGTAATCCCAGCACTCAGCAGGCTGAGGCAGGAGTGCTGCGAATTCAAGGCCAGCCTGTGTTACACAGCAAGACCTTGTCTCAAAAACACACACACACATGCACACACGCACACACACACACACAAAATCAGGTATGTGAAACAAAGCCTCTCAGTGAGAATAGAAGATTCTTTATGGAAGGAATATTATTTAATAATAGAGTTCTTGGGATTAGGAAATATTTAAAATCCACAGGGCCGGGCTGGTGAGATGGCTCAGTGGTCTAAAGCACCTACTTAGAACAAGCTAAGCTAAACAAAGCACAGGGACCCCGGTTCAATCCCCCAGCACCACATGCCAGCCAGCCCCGCCCCCTGGTGGGCTGAGCTGGCCACACACACACAAAATAAATAAATAAATATTTTTTTAAAAAAAATAAAATCCACAGGGCCTTTTTAAATATACTGTCACTCCTTACAACCAAACTCAGTGAAGGAAACGTGCCCCGTGACACCATCCACAAACCACAAACTAAAGACAAAGCACAAAGCACAGCACAGATCCCCTGAGGACCCAGCACTGCTGGGGCGACACGCCCCTGGAAGCCAAGTGTTATCTTCGCGTAGCCCTCTGGACCCAGCTTCCACCTTTGTCAGGTGGCAGGTGGCAGGACAGTGAGCTTCACAGTCTGTGCCTTTGAGAACGGAAATGGGTTCACTTGGAACGGAGGCTTGAGGCTCACGAAGTCACCCATTTTCCCTGGCAGGTGGCCAGCCGGGAGCTGGGCATCCCCACGTCCTACATCCACCTCTCAGAAACCAGCACCGTGACAGTGCCCAACGCCATCTTCACTGCGGGCTCCATGAGCGCAGACATCAGTGGGAAGGCCGTGCAGGTCACTTGCCCTCAACTGTCAGCCACCCAGAAGGAAGGGAGACCCGGGGAGGCCGGCTGCAGCCTCTGAGCCATGGCAGGTCCCAGTCAGCTCTCGCCTGCCTGCTGGGTGCCATGCCATGTGGCTGGGGCTCCTGGTCCCACTCTGTGACATGTGAAAGCTGCCCGTGGCACTCTCTTGTCTCAGGAAGAGGCAGGAGGATGGCAAGTTTAGGGCAGCCTGAGTAACTCAGGGAGGCCTTCCCTCAAGATGAGCAATGAACAGGGTTGAGAACACAGCTCCGGGGCAGAGCCCCAGGTTCAATCCCCAGTACAGGAAAAATGTTCTCTTACTCTCCCTGTCTTTTATCTCTGATGTCTTTTCAAACATTTATTTCTAGAATGCCTGCCAAATCCTGATCGCCCGTCTTCAGCCTGTCATCAGGAGAAACCCTAATGGGAAGTGGGAAGAGTGGGTGAGTGTCCCTCTGTTGTCCCAGCCGGGCAGAGGCTGTGAGGGACAGGCCAGCACCCTGGTGGTGGAGCAGCGTTTTTGCTCTCTGTTCTACAACACAGAGGAGGCGTCTGTTCAGGAGACCTGGCTCAGAGCCACGCACCGCTCCTGGGGCTATCAGATGGGCCAGCCTTGGTTTCTCATCTGTGCCAGGGGTACACCGAAGGGCCACGCTGTTTTTCATAGTCTATATTGCAGTTGCCTTCAGCATCATTACAATTACCACTTCACCTCCGTGTCTGCCCCCACAGGCAAACTCAGGCAATCCTGCAGTGAGGTGGCAATCAAACTGCAACACAATGTGTAGAAACACCTGTGCAGCCTCCTGTGTAGGGCCTTTCCTTGATTTCCCCTTTTACTAGCATGGGTTAGCAGTGTGTACCAACAGCATTTGTCCCAGGACCCACCTGTGTCCATCCCATGTACACCAAGTACACACATGTGTAAATACGCCTCTCCCCTCTTATGAGGCAAGAGATGTGCAAAGCAGGAGTCGCTCGTGGCCAGTGGCCATTGCGTGCCCTCCAGGCCCAGCATCCTCCAGGCATCCAGCTCACAGAAGGCCGGTGTGGGTGCCAAGCTACCGCCCCAGAAACCAGCAGTCCTGGAGCAGTTTTCCTGCCTTCCCAGAACTACTGCCTCCTGGTAATGAGTCATCTCTTTCAGATCAAAAAGGCCTTTGAGGAATCCATCAGCCTCTCAGCCACCGGGTATTTCAGGTAAAGCTGCTCGGCCCAGGCTGAGCACATGGCCAGGAAAGGCGGGGCTGGGCAGCCTGGGCTCTGGAGCAGCAGCCACTCAAGCGGGAAGGACTTGTTGCCAGCACACACCCGGGAAGTAGGCCCAAGGGCAAAGTGCGGGGTCTCCTTGGTGGTGCAGCCTGCAAGAAGACACTGTCCCCAGCCCTACCATGTGGATCCACCCACTGGCCAGGCTACCCCCGGTGACAGGAGGGGCAGGGGACACCACCTTCACCCTGAGTCTCTGCAGAGGCTACCAGACCAACATGGACTGGGACAAGGAGCAGGGGCACGCGTTCCCCTACTACGTGTATGGAGCAGCCTGTGCCGAGGTGGACATCGACTGCCTCTCGGGGGCCCACAAGGTGTGGTATGCATCCAGTATGACCCTGTCACAGCCCCACGGCTTCCGATAACTAGCCTCTGCCAGTGACTCCGTCCTCCTCCTCCTCTCGCACAGCTTCTGAGGGCAGATATCTTCATGGATGCGGCCTTCAGCATCAACCCCGCCGTGGACATTGGGCAGGTGGGTGATTCCAACCTCCCCTCTCCAGGACCCTGGTCAGCGCCTGGGAGGTGGGCACCCAAGTATTCGCATCACTGTGTTACACGTGCCTCCACACACGCAGTCAATGCGCACACCCTGCGTAAGTGCAGAGACTACCTCCATGCAGCTGTCTTCTAATGTAGAGTTCAACCCACCCCACTTCTGAGATGGCCTGGCCTTTTTCTGGGCTTCTTTCTCAGCACAGGACCTAGTCCACCTCCTAGCTGGCCAGGAAAGCAGAGATGGGGTTCTGGGCTGAGATGGGGTCCTGAGAAGGGGTCCCCTGGGCTGAAGTGGGGTCCCAGGCTGAAATGGGGTCCATGGTCCCCAAGTAGAGATCTGGAGCTCAAGAGGCTATCCTGGCACCAAACTCAAGCAAAGAGCGGCTTCTGCCTGCCAGCCACCTCCCTCCTGTACCGCTGAGGGATCAGGTTGCCTCTTCTGAGCCCCTAGTCCTCAATCAGAGGACTGTGTCCACTGTTGCAAGCTGTAGGCCTTGGTCTCCCCAAGCCGTGGGCCCCTGTAGTGCCCCAGGCCCAGAACGGCACCATCACAGCCCTGTGGATGGGCCCTGGAGTCCAGCCCAGGTCCATGAAGCAGCGAGCAGCAGCAGCCCATGCCACCTCCCCCTCCACCTCCTTTCCTCCCAGCAGATCCCACCCCACCCCACCCCCCCCAGTGATGCAGAAGGGTAAGGCAGGAAACCTTAGGACCAGGAAAACCCCATCAGAAGAACAAAGAAATAATAGCAGCAGATAGTCCTTGGTCTGTGATTCCTTCCTGTAGGGACAAGCCTTGTCATTTTCTAATTTAGCAATTAAGTTTGCTTACCTTATTTCAAAACTTGAAGATGCAATAAGACAAGCTGGGACTCCCTTCCCACACTTACGAACTCTGGGCAGTGCTCTCCGCAAAGGGGACCTCTGCCTAGAGTGCAGCACCATGGTGTAGAAGCAGCCTGGCAGCACGTGCCTATTGGGGTGAAATGTCTGCTGCAGATCGAGGGGGCCTTTGTCCAGGGAATGGGGCTGTACACCACAGAAGAGCTGAAGTACTCCCCAGAAGGTGTGCTGCGTTCCCGCGGCACGAATGACTACAAAATCCCCACAGTCACGGAGATACCAGAGACTTTCCGCATCACCCTGCTGCACTCTCAAAACCCCATAGCCATTTACTCCTCCAAGGTGAGCTCGGTGTCCATGCGGGCTGCCTGGGGCTGCGTCTTAGTCACTTCTCTCAGTACTGGGACAGAATCTCCACAAATCTAGAGGCTCTATCTGGAGAGGGTTATCAACTCACAGTTAGGAGTTCCAGTCCTTGCAGGGTCAGCTGCCTCCGGGGAGGCTGCCAGCAAGGGGCCTGGTGGAGGGGAGCTGCTCGCCTCAGGGCCCCAGGAAGCTGGGTAGGAGGAGGGCCAGGAGGGAGAAAATCCTTCCGGGCCACAGCCAGAGCCACCTCCAGCCACGTCCCTCCTGACAGTGGGCCCGCTTACACCACCATCCAGACAAGGAGGCTTGGGTTCTGCTGGGAGTCTGAGCCACAGCCATCCTCCTAAGGAAAGGCTCGGCAGCGTGGCTCACTCAGCACAGACCTGTTCCTCCAGCCCTGGAATCCGGATGTCCCAGATGGAGCCTGCCGCACTGCATTCTTCTGGTCCTTGCTCCTGGGCACATGGGTGGCCGCCAGCTTCACCCGCATTCTCCCCCCACACCCATCCTGGCCTCTAGAAGGACGCTGGCTGTGTGGACCAGGGCTGCCCCAGTGACCTCTCTTTACTCAGTCACCCCTGTGAGGACCTCCTCTGCACAGTCACTCTGGAGGTGCTGCAGTCAGGACTCTGGCAGATGAGTTCTTGGGGCACCCTGGGTGCTGGCTCCCTGGCTGCAGATCCCAAAGGAGACAAGGAAAAGGAAAACAGGCCCAGGTGGACTCCTTACTCCCCATGGAGGAAGGAAGCAAACCCAAGTCCAGTAGGCAGGGCTGAGGAGGGGCTGGCCCCTCCATCTGCGAGGCCCAAGGCCACCACGAGATGCCTGAGCACCTCCTCTCCACCCCGGCAGGGCCCCAGCCGCTTGGAGATGGCAACTGCCCTGAGGCCTCGCAGCCAGCACAGCTCAGGGCCCAAAGCACAGGGGCAGGAGGGCTCTCTTCTGGGGAGAGAGAGCGGGAAGAGGCCAGTGCGTGCATGCGTGTATCCTGTGTGACAGTGTGTCCATGGCTGTCCTGAGTGTGGCTGTGAGCCTATGCCCACCAGCTCAGCCTGCACACCACTGGCCACGTGTCTCCTCAGGGCCTGGGTGAGGCTGGGATGTTCCTCGGCTCCTCAGTGCTGCTGGCCATCTGGGATGCAGTGGCCGCCGCTCGCCAGGAGAGGAGGCCGCACGAGACGGCTGCCCTGTCCCCACGCAGCCCAGCCACCCCCGAGTGGATCCGGATGGCATGTGTGGACCAGTTCACCGACATGGTACGGGCTGGGGGAGGGTGGCGGCTGCCAGGCAGGTCGGGCTGTCCCACCAGCACTCGGCCTGCGCCCTCGGCCTCTGCGCTCCAAGGCCCAAGAAGCAGGGAGCCTCCCTCACCCCAGCCACAAAGCCTTCCTGGTTTCAGACCCCAGAGGACGCATACTGGGCTGGGCTGCTGCATGGAGCGGAGAAGGCTGCTGCTTCCGGCATTTTAGGAAAATGCAGGGGCTGGTGAGATGGCTCAGTGGTCTAAAGTACCTACTTAGAACAAGCTTAGCAAAAGCACAGGGACCGCTGTTCAATCCCCCAGCACCACATGCCAGCCAGCCCCGTCCCCTGGTAGGCTGAGCTGGCCACACACACACACACACACACACACACACACATAAATAAATAAATAAAATTAAAAAAAAAAAAAGAAAGAAAAAGAAAATGCAGCTGACGGCGCATGTGGGGTTTCTGTCTTTGTTGTGGTTTTGGTTTTTTGAGACAGGGTCTCGCTATGTAGCCCAGACTGGCCTTGAACACACTATGAGGCCAGTCTGACCTTGAGCTTGCAGAGACCCTTCTGCCTCAGCCTCCGGAGTGCTGGGATTGTAGGCATGCACCACTCTGCAGACTCCACCTGATGTTTTGGCCTCAGTCACCAACAGTGCTTACCAGAAATCTAACCTGGTCAACCCCACTAACCTAGAAGTTCTTGTTGAGCACATTAAAGTGGTAACTTAGATGGAAACAGCAAGCCCCGGCCGCACGCTTAGACACAGCAATCACACGACTGGGGACCCAGGTGCATTTGCTGCAGTTCCAGGCGCAGCTCGAGCCATCCTCAGCAGATGCCCTCCCAGAGCTGCTCTCCAGCCTGCACAGCAATGGTGCAGCTGTGGAGCACACTCTGCCCCTGGAACACACGACACCCAGGCCCTTTGGGACGGATGGCACAGAGCACTCAGGGGCAAGCTCGTTCAGTATTCATGGTGCCTGTGCTCAGCCCCTGGCTCCAAAGCCCAAACAAGCAAACATCCACTTGAGGGAAAGAGATCTGTAACTAAAGGGGGACAAATGCAAGCCACACAGTTCTGATGAGTGAGGTGGCCGTCATCAACTTGTTTTTTCCTAAAACTGTCATTTGTCTCTGAGCTGTAACATTTGTCATACCGTAGCTTGTTATTAACAACTATCTTCCTACACTTGGTCTCTTCCAGATTCCCAGAGATGACCCTTCGACATTTACGCCTTGGTCCATCTGTGTGTCTTAATTCTGTGTTTTCTGGAAATAAGGATACAAAGTTGACCTCAAAGTCTCAAGCCAGAACAGACAGGCGGATGACTGGCAAAGATAATGTTAGCAGTTGTCAATGATTCCCTGTGGTTTAAGTCGCTGCATATTCCCCACAAGCTGTGGTAAGCTGGAATAAAACCCCAGTCCACAGATGTGTCCATGAGTCCGAGGTGTAAGTGTGCCGCGCTTGGAGGGCTCTCTCAGTGGGGCAGAAGCCCTGGGTTCTGGTGCTGGCAGGAGCCAACCGTACCACCCACGCCCCCTGCAGGCTGGCTCGGTGGCAGTGCCCACAGGGAGGCACCAGGCAGGGGTGCCTGAGGGACACTGAGCCCCAGGTCTTGGGGTGATTGGGCCCAGACCCTAAAAAGGGATCGATGCTCCCATAGGACTGTGGGGTTCTCTCCAAAGCTGGAGGTGCCTACTGCCCCCGGTCCCTGTAACCCCAGCCTCACACCTACTGTTCAATGCTGCCCAGTACTGCAACAAGTAGAGGCCTTGCCTCGTGGGGTCACCTGGCCCAGAGTCCGACACCGTGAGCTAAAGTGAACCTGTTTCTTTCCCAAGCACCAGTCCTGGCCTTTGTGTCACAGTGGGCCCCCACAGGTCCTGTCATCCACTAGGCCCAACCCCAGCATCACAGGACAAGACAGAGACCTCAAATGGCTCTTGGGTCCCTGGCATGGCCTCAGGGCTGAAAGAGAAACCAAGGTTTCTTCCCTTGGCCATCAAAGTGGCACAGAGTTTTTGAGGCTCCTGCGCTGTTCTTGCCTGCTGCTCTCAAGGCAAGGGGACAGCAGCCCCTGGGGGCAATGGAAGGCACTCTTCGGGGCCAGGGCATCTGCAGGCATTGCCTTGCGAGTGTGGACTGTGGTGGGAGGACAGCGCGCAGAACTGCCTCTCTGTGAGGCCACAGCAGGAGGGAAGGTGGGCGGGAGATGCACAGTCAGGGTTTCCTATGTGAGAGAGAGTGTGTGTGTGTGTGTGTGTGTGTGTGTGTGTGTGTGTGTGTGATCGCCAGCATCCTGCACCCTCACCCACATACACCCACGGTGGCAGAGAGCACCGCACATGGGCTCACCGAGAGGTTTGCCGGGAGTCCACAGAACACAAAGAGGAATGGCTCGCAGAACCCTGTAGTTCATGGGCGAAGATGGGAGCCTCTGGTAATGCAGAAGTCACCCTCTCACAAGACACATCTCCGAAGCCCAGCAGTCTACAATTAACTGAGGGACTGAGGTGGGGAAGAAACTATAAAACCACACACATCAGAGGGTCGCAGGGCCAGGCTGTGGGGTGGGGAGCAGAGACCCTGGGCTGCATGCTCAGCACCACAAGTGCCTGGTAGCAATCCATCGGGAAGCCAGGCACAGGCACGATGAATCGGGGGCTGGTCAGTCTCCTGCGCTGCTCGTTGGACGAGTGCCTGTGCTGCCTGACCTGAAGACCTTGCCACAGGAGTAGGGTCGCGTAGGGTGCAGCCTTGAGCCTGGCCAGCCCACGAGAGGCCTCGAGCTGAGGCCAGCTGTCTCCCCAGCTCTTGGGGACATGCAGTGGCTTGTGTACCTATATTTTGTTTCATAAGAAGGGCTAAGTGCAGGGGCTTAATTTTTTTTTTTTTTTTTTTTTTTTTTTTTTTTTTTTTTTTTTTTTTTTTTTTGCGGAACCGGGGATTGAACTCAGGCCCTCGCGCTTGCTGGGGAAGCTCTTATTCCACTGAGCCATCCCCCCGACCCCTTAAATTTGTTTTTAAGTGGTCTGTGCTTTGAAGCTATGGTAAATGGAAATTTTACTTCCATTTTTATCCACCTATTGAGATGGTAGCAACATCTGTTAATTCTTCAGTATTTGTTGCATCAACCTCTAAATTATTTCCTTCTCCACCTGACATGGTTTGGGGCTTTTGCAAGGGGAACAATTCAATACAGGACACATTTGATAAGATTATTTTATACTGAATCACTCAAAGAACCACAAAGAGTGTAGTAAATCTGTCCATACACTAAAGAACAAAGAACCCAGCCAAGGGCCTGGATTCCACAGCAATATCCTGTGTGAGTCCAGCTGAAAACCTAGAGCTCACAACGCCTCCCACAAGTCCACCTGGAGGCCTAGACCTGCGACAATGTCTTGTGCAGGCCCACTTCGCTGATCTACACTGCAAAGGCCCGAATGTCAGTAGTGGAAGGCTAAAAAGTCTGTGCCAGAGGGGTGAAGGATCTGGGCCAGCAGGCTGAGGGATCTGAGCTGGACCCAGAAAACAGTGCTCAAGGTAAGCACCGGAGCTCCCCCAAAGGGAGCAGCCATGCTCAGCCACAGTGTGGCCCCGAGCTCCTCCAGCGGTGAGGAGAGCCGAGCTCCCATCAGGAAAGCCCATGCAACAAGCTTCTCCAGGAGGCTGAGCAGGGCCCAGCTTCCCCTCCCGAGCCAGGAAGCGATGCCCCCCAGAACGATCGCCATTCTCGGTGACAACAGGTCCCAAGCTCCTCCAGCAATAAGAGCCGCCAAGTTCACCAGGAAGCCGGCATGACAAGGTCCTCCCGCAGAAGGGCCCAAGAGGAGCAGCGGCTTCCAGCAGCTCCAGCAGCTTCTCCAAACAGCCTCCCACCAGCCTCTCGGGCTCTGCCTCTCACGCTGCTGGCAACAGCCCTCAGGTGGCCCTCCCACACCAGCGCCACGCTGGTTCAGGTCAGCTGAGTGTCCAAGTTGACCACCAGCCGGCAGTCCACTGCACCACCAAACGTTTATGTCAATCTGTTCGCTCACTTTCATTATTTTGCTACATCCGGTACAACCTCCTAGCGACGCCTTTCTGTATTATTATGTAACGTTGACTAGGAAAAAAGAAAAGATACCAAATCCCTCTCCCACACGCAGTTGCTGGCCCAGCCCCTAGCTCCCTGGCCTCCACCCGTCTCCCACTGGCCTCTCTGGCTCATCCCTGTAACCCCTCGAGCTCTGCCAACATGACCCAGTCCTGCACCGCTGGACGGCGGGGCGGCGGGCGGCGGGGCGCCTTCCTTCAGACCCTGCTTGGGCCGTGCGGTGCCCTCCCAGGCCTCTGTCCACTGCAGCCCACTGCCCGCCTCACAAGGGAGGATGACGTCACCATGCGGCCGGGGGCCTAGCTGCCCTCTGTCCCCTCAGCCCTGTGACCACTGTTTCCGGAGCAAAAACTTGCTCTCCCAGCCTCTGCCCTTGAGCACTGTCGGTATGCCCTTGGCATGGTGTCAGGTGACAGAGCTGGGGTGGCCTCCTTCAGCTCTGGCAAGGGCTCTGTGTCCTTCTGTTCACAAGACGCTCCTCCCTCTCCCTCCTGCCGCCTCCCCATGCTCCTGTGCTGGGTCCCGACTCCCAGGCGACTGCAGGGTGCAGAGCCACCTCTGTGCCCACCCAGGTCTCCACCTTGACCACCCTCACCTGCTCTCCTCCAGCACTGTCCATCTGTCCATGCAGTGTTTCGGGGAGCAGCACCATGAGCCCTGTATCCAGCTGGGGCAGACATCGTCCCCCCAGCACTCCTTCATGTGCCATGTCCCTGGGTTTCCAGGGCTGTGTGGCAGCAGCTGGGCAGCACCTTCTCTCCCTCGAGGCCCACGCTGCAAGCCTGGGGCCAGGCACCACAGCCAGGGGGCCCCAGGAAGAGTTTACCTGCATCCTCCTGGCTGTGGACTCAAGGTGCCCAGGTTTGTGGTGACCACAGTGCTCACCTTGGCTCCCATGGCTATGCTCTCTTCCCTCCCTCAAGGCCCTCTCTCAGACGATGCCAGTTAAGGGCTCAGGGTTGCCTGCTCCCCCAGAATCTCACCTTAACCTGATCAACCTGCCAAGACTCAACCCCCTGGAAGGCTAAGTGACCGGGTTGGCCACGACACAATGCGTCCCTGTAGCTGTCTGTCTCCTGCATGCTGCAAGGTGACTGCAGTTTAAGTCCTGGGCTGTGTGACCCTGACCCATGGCCCCACACTCAGGTGTAGGAGCAGAAAGCTGGCGCTGAGACCCCTGCCTCTGCACACCCACCGGATTGGACAGGAAGGGTGCAGCTGCCCAGCACTGAGGACACCCAAGTGACGACAACCCCCCAACCAATGTGTCCGTGCATCCTAGACCCTGGCTCCCAGGGTGCTGGTGTGAGGACCCCTTCCTCAGAGCCCAGGCTTCCCAGGCCTGAAAGAACCGGGAATGGCCCAGAGGCCCAAGGGCACTCAGAGTAACTGCCCAGGCCCATCGTGAAGAGCCTGCCTGCCAACCCCACTCCACCCGGGAGTCCAAAGAGCCCAAGATGAAGGCAACAACTACCCAGGGGCACCAAATGCCCCCTGGCTGTCCCAGAACCAGAGCAGGGTGCATGCTTTTCCCAGGTTTGTGCCCCTGCTGTGGGGCGGAGCCACCTCTGGCATTGTTCACAGTGGCTAAGGAAGATTGTGTGAACCTAGGCTGTTGTGTAACAGCTTGGCCACACCTGGGCTGCCACGTGAACTGCAGCTTAGAGAAGCAACATGAAGAAAGGGCCTTGCTGGGGACAGAGACAGAGGCTTCTGAGGGATCCCGGGGCTGGGGGCCTGGGAAGAATTCAGGAGGACACCCAGAGAACAGAAGTCACTGCATGTCGCTTCAGTCTTGAGTGGGAAAGGGCAGGACTGCATCTTACCCGCCCGCCCCGGCACCTGCTGGCTGGGCTCCTGTTGTTGATCTGTTTACCCTTCTTTCCACCTGCGGCTTCCTGCACAAACCGGTTGGTGCAGCGCCACCTCTGCAGGTGGCTGGGGTCAGGTTCCAGCGCTGGGCTCCTAATCTGAGTTCTTGTGCACTGTCCAGCATGAGGCCACGGCCCCGTGTGCTCAAGCTGCTGTCCGCATCAGCGCCTGCTTCCCAGCATGCTGACAGTTTGTCCCTGAGACACCAGGGTTGAGGGTTTTCAGCCCAGTGCTCCAGCTCGGAGAGGAGCAGTGGGTGGGGAGAGTAGTGGATCTTCACAGAACCCCAGCTCAGAGGCACCAGGGCCCCTGCTGCTTCTCCTCAGCTTTTCCCCTCTGTCTTGGTGCCCTAACCAATGCCCACTGACCCTCCAGGCCTATTGCCTTCCCAGAGCAGCCCCAACTTGGTCCTTCTGAAAAGCCCATTTGCTTAATGCTAGGGAACTGCAAGCACTGGAGAAAAAGTGCCTGTGTTGTGCCCCAGCCCTATACGTGCCCCGTGGTGAGAGGCCATCCCTGCCACCCCATCCCACAACAACACCCCCAGGAAAGCAAGCCACCTCCTCACTGGAGCCTCCCCCCGGCGCCTGTGTTACTAAATGAAGAGCAAGCACAACTATGGAGTCTTTCTGAGGTCACATAAGGGGCTGACAGTGGGGAAGAGGAAGGATTGCTCGCTTGTCAAGGGAAAGACGGGCCCTTGCTGGGGCTCACGTGGCAGCGGGCCTGGGACACAAGCTGAGCCCAGCCAGTGCACGAGACTCATGTGCACAGCTGGGGACAGCACAGTGCCCATGCCAGGGAGCACTGGGGCAAGGGGATGGAGCAAGTGGCAGCACGGGTGCCACCCAAGTGTCCTGCTGCTGGGCCAGGGAGCAAAAGGGCTCCAGGCTCTCCTAGGTTGAGCACAGGGTGATACCGGGGAGGAAGCTCCCAACCCAAAAGGTTCCTAGACGAGTTTGTGCTCTCTAAAACCGAAGAATGAATTTTGGGAACAGCAGACGTTAAGAGCAGAATATATTTATTGGGGGAAAGAAAGCTCCAGTCCAAGAGAGGGACAGCAGGGGGGCCTGAGCAGGTTGTCCCGGAATCTGTCTTTTCCAGTGATGTTTATAGAGCAAACCCATGTGGTGAAGTGGGTCTAGAGTGGAAAATATGGGAACTGACACATGAGTGAGACAAAACTGTGGTCAGCCAATAAGGTTACAAGCTCCATCGCTCCGGTAAAATTGACTAAATTCAGGGCTGATTAGGAAAGTGAGTCACGTAGCAAGCCGGCATGAATACAGAACCCGGGCTTTCCCTGTAGGAGACTGGGTCAGTGACTCTCTCTGGCTTCTAGGTGATTGATACCTATTTAGAATCTTACTCCCTCATGCCCATCCCTAGGAAAGTATGTGGCTGCATTTGTTTACTCATTCATCTTTAGGTCTGGCCCACAGTAGGGGTCCGTCTCTACCAAAGATGCAAAGTCATCTTGTCTTCTGCACTGTCTCCTTGAGGTCCTGGCCTTGTCTGACTGCCTATTATATTTCTATCTAACTTAGCCATCTGCAACAAGGGAAGTAGAGGCCATGTGGTCCTGGGCGCTGTGGCCTGGACGAGTATGCTCTCAGGGAAGCTCTGGCTCCCATCAGGACGAGGCAGCCTGGGATGCTGAGGGCCTGGAGGGAGGAGAGAGCGAGGCTGGAGTGGGAAGGTGCCCAAGGAGCCGGAGGTCCCTGGCGGGCAGGCAGGCAGGGCTGGCTGTGCAGAGCTGCGCAGACCCTGTGCCCACAGCCTGACCCAGGGTGCATTGCGGCTCAGACTCCTCCAAGGCTCCTGGGGCTCTGCTTTTGTTTTGCCATAGTGGGCACTGAGCCCAGAGCCTTCTCTGACTGACAACCTGGCCCTGAATTCAGTTTTATCCTGAAACAGGGTCTCTTCATTTCCCTAGGGCTGGACCTTTGGTCTGCCTGCCTCAGCTTCTTGAGTCCGGGGATTACAGGCATGCGCCACCACACCAGGCTCCACACCTCCTTACCACGCGTGAAATACACACACCCTCATATCAAGCCTTCTCCAGAACACAGAGACCCATGTGGCTGAGGACCACGGCACTGCAACTACAAAGCTCGGACTTGAGTGTCAACTGTCCCCAGAGGCGAAGCAGGGCCCCCGAGCCATGACAGGGCAGTCACCTGTCACCACTTGTGGGCCAGGTCCCCACAGCCTGAAGACCCACAAGATGGAGTACACAGGGCACAATGTGCAGACACTGGTGAGGGGCTGTCCTCCTGACAGCACTGCTCTTGAGACGGCTGGGCCCCACCCCACTCCCACTGTAGGGAGGGACAGCAGCTGCCCTGCCCCCTCACCACCACCCCCAGGTGACCCCGGGAGGAAGGAGGCAGGCAGCAGCTCAGGCCAAGAGGGTGGGACCTCAGGTTGGGCTGGGCCCCAGCTCAAAAGCCAGAGCCGGGCATCGCCGCGGCTGCCTCCTGCCCAGCTCCTCCAGCCCTTTGCTCGCCTCTTGGCCAGCACACGCTCCGCCTAGGTCATGCCTGCCCCTCCAGGCTCCGACGAGCTGGTTTTCTTTGTGAATGGGAGGAAGGTAAGCACTGTGCAAGCCAGGAGCCTGGGCCCTGGCCGGTCCCATCAGCGGCCACCTTCTCAGTGCCCTGCAGCTGGAGGGGACAGTGTGGACACCACAGGTGACAGTGGGCACTCACGGGGGGTGGGGAGGTTCTGCCTGCCTGAGTGGCCCCACTCCAGAGCCAGGCTGAGGCAGGGAGGTTGCCCAAGAGCCTGTCTGACCCTTGAACCTAGGAGTGCACAGACACAGCCTTCAAAGTCTTTCTCTTTGCTGAACTAATTTTCTATCAAGTCCCCATTCTGCAGGGATGGCCGGGGTCAGCTGTGGCCAGCCTGGTCCCCTTCCCATGGGTGCTGGCTCCAGGGGGACCTGTGTCCCCTTCTGATGCCACTACCACCCCCAAAGGCTGCCACAGCCTGCATTTGCTGCTCTGCCACACAACCCAAGGGACCAGGCATCTCCCCTAGCCCTCAGCACCCACTCTGGCTGGGTGACACCACCCCCGCCGAAGGCCCAGGAAGGGGTGGACACAGGGCCTCTGGGCTACCACCTACCTTGGCCTTCTGCCCAGCCTCCTCCCAGGCTCTGGCTGAGCACTCACCCCACCACCTTGGGGGGAAGGGGTGGCCTGACACCTGGCCCCCTCAGGCCCCTTAGGGGCTGCCAGGGCATCCATCGGCCACTCTCCCTGTCTTACCGTGACCCTGAAGCCCACATTTTCACCAAAGCCGCTCCCCCAGAGTGTCTTACAGATGCCCCAACTCTTCCAGCATTGCGCCCTACGGGCCCTTGGCTGCACACACACACACACACGCATGCACGCACACACGCACATGCACACACACACACATGCACACACGCATACACAGGCACGCTCCCAACCACACAGAGAGCCATCCTGCCACATGAGCTTCTCAAGGCTCCTACCCTGAGCCGGCTTAGACACCCAGGGCCTGGACGGCAAGCATGAGCAGGTCAGGCTGGGGCCACAGCCGGCCCTTGTCAGCCCACTCTAGCCTGACACCCTGTCCTGACCCTGATACAGGTGATAGAGCGGGATGTGGACCCAGAAGTGACCCTGCTGACCTTCCTGCGAAGGAACCGGAGCCTTTCCAGCCTGGCTGTCTGCGGGACTGTGGGTGTCAGGGTGAAGGGGAGGAGGTTCCCCCAGCAGCTTAGGGGTGACTCAGTGGTGTGAGAGAGACAGAGCCTTCACCCAACGCTGCCCTGTGTCCCTGTGCCCAGCATGTCCTGCAACATGCCCTGTGACAGTGGCTCCAGGCAGCCCTTCCCGAATGTTTTCCCAGTGTCAGGAGAGCTGGGTCTGAGCAGAAACCCCTTGTGTGTCCTGCCACCCCTCCCTGTGCAGTGGCCACATTGTCAGTGGCACATGACAGGTCTCCCAGAGAGGCAGTGAAGTGACAGAAATGACACCCAATAGCCTCTGCACAGGTTCTATTTAAAGGCCTAGGTGGCTCCTGATTAGTTGTCAACACTTGAAAATTATGAAATTTAATATTTAAAAGGGTGAAGATGCCCTTGACACTTCTCATAACAAAGGGAAGGTGGCCAGCTGGGTGGCCTGTGACCCTCTGCCCTGTGTAGGCCATCGCCCACACACGGCCTCCTCATGACCTTCGGGCTCTGCTTGACCTGCACAGCTGAGCCCGACCGCAAGCAAAGCCCACCCAGTGGTGCCTGGAGCCCCCTTGCAAGTCTGGTGGGCACACTGGTGCTGCACGCTGTGGATACAGCTGTCCGAGAGAGGAGCAGCAGCTGAGGCTAAGCTGTGCTTGGGGTCCTCATGGCCAGAGCGCAGGCGTGGGGAGGGGTGCTCAAGCAGGTCTGAACAGGGCCGCAGAGGCCTCCAGAGAGGCGTGGCTACGCTGTTCAGGGTGATGCACAGAGTGGCTGAAGTGAAAGACAGGGATGGCAGAGCCCTAGGGCCCCACACCGCCTCCTGGTCAGGGAAGTGCTTCTGTCCGGGGGTTCAGGAGGCCCGCAGCTCCCCAAGTCCTGAGAGACACAGCCGTTTCCTTGACGGGCCCTCCAGTTGGTCTCACAGGCACGAAGTCGGCCTGTGGAGGAGGAAGCTGCGGCGCCTGCACCGTGATGCTGTCCCGGCTCGACGTGGCCTCTGGGAAGCCCAGGTAGTGCCAGCCTGGCTCCCACACAGGAGTGGGCACAGGGCCTCATGCCTGGTCTCAGGCCCAGAAATCCCATGGTGCCTGCCCTGTGCACCACATGCGATAGGTCAGGGAGACTGTGGGCCTCCGGTGTGCCCAGTGCTCTACAGATGAGGAAACTGAGGCTCTGGGGTGCCATGGGATGAGGACCGGGCCGCGCTTTCTGTCCCTGAATGAGCTTCTACTGCCTGCCAGGACAGCACCTGCCCAGCAAGGACCCAGGCCAGTCCTAGAACTTGGCTCCCTCCTAACCCCCAGCATAAATCAGGGTCAACTTCAGAGCACAGGCCAGCATGCGGGACAGGGCCTGAGACAGAGTGAGCAAGGTCTGAGTATGTGGGTTTGGGCACAGACAGTAGCCTGGCTGAGGGCTGGGGAGATAGCTCAGTAGAATGAGTGGAAGGTCCTGAGTTCAATCCCCAGTACCGCAAAAAAAATAGCAAGCAGTAGGCTGGCTGTGTGTCCAGTGGGTTCTAGCAGATGTCCAAGCACAGCCTCAGTGACCACGGGGTCACCCAAGAGCCTGCACAGGGCTAAGAGCAATCTTCTGAAGTCAGGACATCCCATCTCCCCTCAGGGCTTCCCATCCTGGGAAAGAGCAGTGACCCAGCTGCTGGTCCAACCCACCCCATCTCCCAGACTCTGCCCTGGGTTCTCCCCATCTCTCACAGACATGTCTCAGTCACCGCCTGCCTGGTGCCCCTCTGCTCTCTGCACGGGGCAGCTGTCACCACTGTGGAAGGCGTGGGAAGCATCAGGACCAGGGTCCATCCTGTACAGGTAAGCAGGACCCGCCCCCTCCTTCCTTGTCGCCTCAGCCTCCAGGTCACCTCGGGTCGTAGAAGCCTGGATGCCCAGGCACTGGTCAGGGCAGCGCTTCTGCCCAGGGGTCCAGAAGGATGCTGGACCCTGTGGGGTGGTCACCTTGCTGTGTTTTATACCGACAAGGTCAACAGGGTCACCCAGATACTGACGACTTCTGTCAGCTGTGACACAGAAGGTGTCATACACAGGATGACAGAGGGCAAAGCGGCTCTGCTGCTAACAGGATAAAGCGGTTCTTCCTGCGGGAGCAAGTCCCCAGAGTGAAGTTAGAAGGGGCAAGTGGAGGCTACTTAGCGTGGTACAGTCAGCCCCACATTTGGCCTGTGCTGGGCAGCAAGCACGACACAAGCTGGTGAGAGAGCTGTCAGCTCCCGCCACCGTCCCGGGATGCAGAGTCCAGGACCAGAGTGCCCAGCGCGGGCCTTTGAGGTAGGAGGAGCTCAAGGCTCTGGCTTTACCATGAGGTTCAAAACTGATCCTCCGGCCAAGGTGAAGGACAACAGTGCGTTCCCGGCAGGGAGGCTGGATGCACCGCAGCAGGGCAGGAACCTGAACCCTGGACTGTCCTACACTCCAAAGCCAGAACCAGGTGCTCCGGGTGCACCCCAGGGCCGGACCCAGGGGCTCCGGGTGCTACTGTTCCCAAAAGCCAGGGCAGCCAACTAGAAATTCAGGTTCCCAAGGAGGAAGTTTGGAATGAGGCGTGGCTAGGCCTGCCGGGCAGGGACTGAGCTTTAAATAAGCGGGCCTGTGAGGCAGCGCAAGGCGTGCAGGCCGTAGATGGTCCCGGTCCATGAGGGAGGCTGGACAGGGCAGTGTGAGGTGCTGTGTGTGAGGCCTGCATGTCCTCCAGGTACAGCTCCCCGGAGAGCCTTCCCACCCCGACAGGCAGCACTGCCATGGACAGGACAGTGACCTTGCTGGAGTCCCCGGCCTTGCCATGACCTTGCTCTCTGCCGCAGGAGAGGATCGCCAGGACTCACGGCACGCAGTGTGGCTTCTGCACGCCCGGGATGGTGATGTCGCTGTACGCGCTGCTCCGCAACCACCCGCAGCCCTCCGAGGAGCAGCTTCTGGAGGCGCTGGCGGGTGGGTTGGCTGAGGGGCCTCAGACGCACCGCTCAGCACAGCCGGCCGCCACAGTCCCTGGTGCTCACCAGAACGGCTGCAGCTCACCCCAGGCCTGCAGAGCCCAGGGCTGGAACCTGGCCCTTCCCCGCCAGGGACCCAGACTCCTTCTTCAGGGCCTCTGATCCCCAGGATGCCTGCAAGTGCCTCAACTAGGTGGCTTCGAACCAGGGAAGCTCACTCTGCCACAGTGGGGAGATGCAGTCCCTGAGCAGGGCGCAGCAGCTGGGGCTCCGTGGGCTCCGAGGAGGCCCTGCTCGCCCGGCCGCATCCCTGGTGGCCTTCTTGCCTTGGGCATGTGCTGCTCTCCCTGCACTAGGATGCTGGCCCTGGATGCAGTGGCCTCAGCAAGCACAGCCACCTCTGACCAGTGCTGCAGCTGCAGAAGGGCTGCTCCCCAAAGGGCCATGTGCATCAGACCCAGGCTGCGCTGCCCGGGGGCTTCTGTAGCAGGTCACAGGCCCCACACACCCTAGTGGCAATGCTCAGGGTCACCTTGGTGACAACCACAGACAGGCTCCAGGCAGCCAGCCCAGGTTCCTTCTCTCTCTGTCTCTCTCTGTCTCTCTCTGTCTCTCTCTGTCTCTCTCTCTCTCTCTCTCTCTCTCTCTCTCTCTCTCTGTATCACTGTCTCTTTATTTCTTTCAGTCTCTATTTCTGTCTCTGTCTCTCTCTTTTTCTGTCTCCTCTCTCTGTCTTTTGTCTCTCTCTCTTTTTCTATTTCCTCAATCTCTCTCTGTGTCTCTGTCTCTGTCTCTGTCTTTTTTCTCTGTGTCTCTGTCTCTGTCTCTCTTTCCCTCCATCTCTGTCTCTCTCTCTGGCTCTGTCTTTCTCTGTGTGTGTCTGTCTCTGTCTATCTCTGTCTCTCTGTCTCTCTCTGTCCCTGTCTGTCTGTCTGTCTCTCTCTCTCTCTCTCTGTCTTTGTCTCTCTTGCTGTCTGTCTCTCTGTCTCTATCTTTCTGTCTGACTCTGTCTCTGTCTCTCTTGCTCTCAGTTCTCTCTGTGTCTCTGTCTCTGTCTCTCTCTCTGTCTCTGTCTCTGTCTCTGTGTCTCTGTCTCTGTCTCTGTCTCTTTCTGTCTCTGTCTCTGTCTCTTGCTCTTTGTCTCTCTCTCTCTCTGTCTCTGTCTCTCCCTCTGGCTCTGTCTTTCTCTGTGTGTGTCTCTCTGTCTATCTCTGTCTCTCTGTCTCTCTCTGTCCCTGTCTATCTTGCTGTCTGTCTGTCTGTCTGTCTGTCTCTCTCTCTCTCTCTCTCTCTCTGTCTTTGTCTCTCTTGCTGTCTGTCTCTCTGTCTCTATCTTCTGTCTGACTCTGTTTCTGTCTCTCTTGCTCTCAGTTCTCTCTGTGTCTCTGTCTCTGTCTCTCTGTGTCTCTGTCTCTGTCTCTCTCCCTGTCTCTGTCTCCGTCTCTGTGTCTCTGTCTCTGTCTCTTTCTGTCTCTGTCTCTGTCTCTTGCTCTTTGTCTCTCTCTGTCTCTGTCTCTGTCTCTCCCTCTGTCTCTCTCTGACTCTTTCTATCTCTTTGTCCCTCTCAGACAAAGTCTTCAGAGTCCCCACCTTCCCCATCCTTCTGGCCCCCTCTCCACCACTGCCTTCCCAGCTCCCGGGTCCAGGCACCCCCTTCCTCCCACTCTATGGCCCTCAGCCACAGGTCCCCAGCCTGGCTGCTACCTCAGCCTTCCAGATGGACTCTGGCCCACTGCCTCCTCCATGCCTCCCCTCTTTTGTCCTAGGGTCCTGAGGTCCCCAATGTCACCCCACAGTGGGGGACATAGTTCGCAACATGCAGGTTGCTGTGCCACCCCAGACACTGCACCCATAGAGTCAGGGCAGAGCGGGCGGGAGATGGCTCAGTAGAGTAAGTGCTTGCCTGGCAAGCAGGGCAGAGCCAGACCTCACCACCTCAGGACCCGGCCGTACACGTCTGAGCACTCCCTGCCACCAGGGGATGCATACTGGGGTGGGATGGCTCTGTGTCAAGCACTCACCTAAGGCGTGCGAGGCCTGGGGTTCCATCCACAGCACCAGGAGATATGTGGATGCAGAGATGGTAGTGGGCACATAGTCAGACAGACGCAGAGACATAGACACCTGGTAGATAGCAGGTGCAGAGACGCAGATATAGAGAGGTGTGGCAGGCAGGTGGCCCAGAAATCATAAGAGAGACACATAGACACGGGTAAGTGATAGATCACTGATAGATAGTGACAGATACATGACAGAGAGAGAATAGAAAGATGGAAGGAAGGAAGGAAGGAAGGAAGGAAGGAAGGAAGGAAGGAAGGAGAGAGAGAGAAAAAGAAGAAAGAAGAAAGAAAGAGAGAGAGAGAGA